CCTGTGCAATTATATATAATATCCAGTTTTTTTCCGCCTGGTGAACAAGTCGGCGTGTAAAACACGTCGAGCGTTGGGGGTGCAGTGTGCGAATGCCGCATGCTCGCCACAGCAGTCTGTCAAGCCAGTCACTTGCGCCTCGGCCCAGTCGCCGCTGCACTTCCAGCTGTTTCACTGTTTGAACGGCTGCAGTCCGCTCTTCCAGCGCTATCAACACGCGACACAATCCCGGGACACAACGATGAACGATTAAACCATGGAAATCTGCTCGGTGAGAGCAGTCTCCGCTATTTACTTCAAAGCATCAACGGTCAATGCCATCCGGACAGTGATAGGGATCACTCTGTAGATGAAAAGCCGTCCTCTCACAATCACACACCGCGCTGGCGCAACCGTGGCTTTGCAAGAGAGCGTCTTGACGGCCCGTGTTGGCGAAATTCAGAAGTGCCCGTCTTCGTGTGTAGCTCTTTTGCTTTAGTGAGCGGTCTTTGCACAATAAGACCGTTTCCTTCCGCTCCGAGGTGGCTTCGCGTACGGTCAGTGATCACTTTGACCACACTCGTTGTGGCGACACTGACGTGGCAGGAAAATGACGGTCGCTTGCTTATGCCAGTTACTAACTTGCTCATCGTCGTTGCTAAACTTGCATGTCCTTGAAAAGTGTCCTTCAGCCGCTGACTCAACGTACTACGCTGAGCGTAGGGCACACAAGGCAGCGGAGATTATAGGAGCTCTTTCCCAGTCTCCTTCTCCATCTTGTGTCTCTCACCATGGTACGTGTCACTACATGTATATTACGTCGAACGTCTGCAAGTCTTACGTAGCATCGAAGAGTACGGTACCGCTGAACCGAGTTGCCAATGGCAACTTGCCACTCCAGCTTGTGCGACTGGGTGAACGATGCTCCACCCACTACGCCAGCGAATAAGACGTCCTCGTCGCCACTCGTTCTGCGCCGAGGCTGTGACGCAATGCAGACGGCACGGGAGCCGTCCAGCGCACGAACTGTAGACTGAAGTGTCGAGGTCAACGTAGATCAGGTTGCCCATTTTGCGGAATGGGATCTTGAAAATAGGTCATGTAAAGGTATCTTCAGTGAAGGATACTTTTTTCTCTTAAGCTTAGTCCTGTCCTGAATGGCTGGGGTTCGCCTTGGTCACCGCCGCTCTCTAAGACCATAATAATCAGCTGACTTTCATTAGTAGTGGCATCGCTCCCTTCATAAAAGCAATTTATCCCTTGTGCCGACTTACGGAGTTTTATTTGCTGACCACCGAAACGTCTTGACCTGATGAAACGATAATGCATTGACGAAACTCGATTATTTCGTGAGTGAAGATCCAGCTTACAGTAAGCCGGCAGCACAGAAAGCAGGGGTGCTGTCCCTAAACTGTTAGTGGCAGCCATTCCTCGAGTTCTTCGTCACATGCTCTTTGTCTGCTGCATGTACAGGAGCTACCACAATTTTAAATATGATGCATGCACGATTTCTGTCGGTCTGTGACGTGAGAATGAGTAGACCTGGGCTCATTTTACTTCGCTTAAGTGCGTCTTCCTTATTTTTGAGCTGAAATTCCAGCTCATCTCGCAACTCAGTCTCCGATCTTCCCCCCGGATATCTGTGCACCAGTCCTCAATCTGCGCAGCCCATTGAGTATCTATAGGTGCTCCTCTACAAAACTATGGCCGGCGCAAGTCCCAAGAAGAACGGCTCCGCGCCGCAGACACCCAAGCAGTCTCCTCCACACTCGTCACCGACTCCGTCACCCTCACGCGGCCCCGACGACGTGGACGCCGACGAGCTGACTGCGCTGATCAAGGCTGTCAAATTTGCACATCCTGGATTTGGCGTCAAGCGCGTACACGACCAGGTTCTATCGCATGGTGGAAAGTTTGCTCGTGTTCCCTTTAAGCGTGTCAAGCGTTACATGCACAAGTTGGGCATGAACTCGCCTTCGGAAGAGGACAAGACGCCTGTAAAGCTCATGACAGTCGGCGGGGACGCTAAGTCGCTGCGTGACGGTGGTCCAGAGGCCTCTGGGGCCACAGACGATATGGTATGGCTGCCTGTCAAGCTGGACGAGCCTGCGTCCAAGCTCCAGGAGTTCCCGTACCAAGCTGTAATCCGAATGACCACCAACGAGGAGGGCGATGCCGAGGGCTCGCTCGGTGAGATCTACAAGATCCAGGTGGCCGTGGAGAGTGACGGATCTCTCAGTACCATTTCACCCTATGCTGGTGTACAACAAGGCGCGTTCTCGCAAGACGTTCCTGCACCCAGACTCACCGGCCTATCTGCCTGTGCAACGATTGGTGACCGCGCAGGGTCAGAAGGGGAGCTGTTGGCGGCTCCAAGGCCTACTTCTGGGGCCGCTACTTCAAGATCGAAGACATGTTGTACATCAACACGGAGAGGCTCGCACCTGCCCAGCTGTGGTAGGCGGTGAACGAGAGAGAGCTGTCGCAACAGGACCTGCAAAACGACGGCAGGAGGATTGATGAAAAGCGAGGTGTTGATTTGGGAGAGAAGACACGAAGGAAAGGGAGGACAAGTTGGCGGGACTTGCTTCACAGTCGCAATCTGGCGTCCGTGGCTTTGCGTTTTGCCCGATATATTGACTGCTTTTTCACTTTTGCATGTGCATATTCTGCATATTTTTTGGCGGTAGACCGATGGAAGTTGCGTTTTTGATGTCGAGACGCCGTGTTTGCTGCTGTGGTGCGGTTCAACCTGCTGTCCCTCCTTGCTCCCCGTGTTTCTCGATATGGTGTTGGTCTCGAGCCCCCTGCTGGTCCGTCCTGGTTACATGAAGTTGTCAAGATGTCGCGTTACCCGTTCGCTGCGTTCCGTCGACTAACGTGGAGCTCGTGTGAAGACAAAAGTTGATGAAAAAATCGAGCAAGAAATGGCACAGCAAAATGTTGCCCAAAATTCGTAACAAAAAATGAGAAAAGATTCACGTAACGTTAGCTTGAAGCATGTACAGCGTAGCACTTTTGACGGTCAATGCTGCTTGTTGACTGAGCAAACCTCTATGTCTGCCTGTTCGTGCTTGCATTTCACGCCGTCTCTTGTGTTGATGAGTGCTAGGGGTCAGTTGAGCGGGGCTTACCGCTTCGATGGCACTCCGGTGCCGAAAAGACCGCCTTCGTCGTCACTGTCGCTTTCGCTTTCACTGCTTCTCACAGCCCCACCGAAAAGTGAACTGTAAGGTGCCGGTGGAATGGCAGCCTGAGGTGTCGTCTGCACGAAGCCAGGGGCCGGAGCGGCAGCGGTTGGTGCCGGTGCGCTGGACGGTTCTCCGAAGAGGCTGCCGCTGACAGGGACTGGGGCCTGGCGAAGCTCAGGCGTGGGCTGTGAAGGCGCAACTAAGACTGGGGAAGGAGCGGCAGCCGCAGGTTTGGGAGCTGCATTCTGCGAGCCAAATAGCGACTGACTTCCACCGTCATCATCGCTCCAGTCGCTCTCGCTCGACTCGTCATCATCCGCAACTGCAGCAGTAGCACCGAACAGGAACGATCCTGACGTCGGTGCAGGCGTAGATGCCGCCGGGGTTGGTACGAGAACAGGTGTAGGTGCCGGTGTCGGTGCGGGTGTCGGTGTCGGTGTCGGTGTGGGCGCCACAGGTGTCGGAGCTGATGTTGACGCCACTGGAGCAGGCATCGCTGAAGGCACTGGGGCACGGGTCGGAGCGGTTGTTGCAGCTTCCAGTGGTGTAGACACAGGAGTCGGTGACGGAGCTCGTTCAGGAACTGGAGGAGGTGCAAAGGTGAACACTGGTGCGGGTGCTGGCTTAGGAGCTTCAACTGCTGCAGCCGGAGGAGGAAACGAAAGCTTCGGAGTGGGCTCTGGAGCTGGGGCAGGCGTGCCAAACAGAGACGAAGCGGAGGTCGAGGACGGAGTCGACGTGATCTCTGGTTTCGACTTTGGCTTGTCGTCAAGTGACAGTTCGTCCATGGAGAAATTCGCCATCAGCGCGTTAGGGAATCCTGTCGGAGCATATGAGTACTGCTCCGTAGAGGCATCGTATTTCGGCGCATACGGATCATCATCCTCGATCTGATAAGGCTTCATGGGTTGGGCCACCATTGGTTCCGGTACCTTGTGCAGTGTCGCTGAGACAGCAGGTGTCGGTGCCGGTGTTGGTGCTCGTACCGGTGCGGGCGCGGGTGTAGGTGCCGCAAAGGTGGACTGAACCGGAGCTGGAGAGTACACAGATTGTGAAGCCGGGCTTCCGAACAAATTTGCAGGTTCGGGTGCTGGAGGCGAAACCAAGACAGGAGCTTCAGGAGCTTTCGGCTCAACAACTTCAGCGGGTGTAGGCGCAGTAGCGACTGAAGGTTCAGTTGCGGGGGCTTGAGAGGGCTGGACGTTATCGATAATCGGTGCAGCCATCGTCTGCAATGATAATAACACGAAAATTAGTTCATGGAATCCCACCCACATAAGCACCAGCTTATCTTTACAGGAATTCGGAATGCTCCAGGTGGTGGTCGTGTCGGGCCACGGCGCTTGGGACCAGCAACACGGTTCATTGTCGTCTGTTCAGTCATCACTCAAAGTTAGTACTGCAGCATGTGAATATCAAAGATATCAATCCAAACCCAACGCACATGAGAATCATCCAGAGCTGCTGCTGGGGCTTCGGCACTCTGTTCACCTCCAGCTGCCATCCCAGGCAGTCTGAAGCCACCCTTTGCTAATCCAGGCATAGGAATCGCCGATCCCGTCATACCGGGCATGGCAACACCCATGGCGTGCTGCGTGTGTCCATATTGTTCCTCTCCTGTGCTCATAATAGACTCCCTTTGGGCACTCCGATATCCTCCACTGGATGCTCCCCCCGGACGTCCGAATGTATTCACATTGATACCAAGACTGCCTTGTAGCTGCTGGATCTTACTAGAAGCTTTACGGATACCCGCAGCCTCCTGTGCTGCCGCCACCGAAGACGTGTCAACCGGTTCGGAAGCTGCTGACGTTACACTCGCGTCGCTCATGCTGCCAGCGCTGCTGTGACTCGCTAGAAGCTGCTCCGACGGCTCCGAAGCCGGTGACGGGTGATTAAATCGCGGCGCGGGGGGCGTTGCCTCGGCGGCGCTAGCTGCCGCGCTCTGTTGCTTGAGACGTGCGATCCGTTCCGCGATGGAGCTTCTAGCAGCCGATGGGGCCGTCCCTGGCGCAGCGGAAGCGCTGGGTTCCACTGCTGGCACAGGAGGTTCACTCTCCCCACCGGCCTTGGCGCGGCGCCGCGCTAGGATCGCCGCCAGTTCGTTCGACGCCATACTCGTCTCGTCCCCTTGTATCGGCCTGGCTTGACTTTCAACTTAGAAATGTCGCGTGATATGCTGATTATTACTGTATGACTTTGTAGAGGATGTAAAGTAGAGAAGTTGGATATTTGTAGCTTCAGCTAGATTCTTAAAAGAAATACATGTACCTACGCCGAGATCAACATCGATTGCAACGTTTAATACTGCTTCATATGTGTATTGACATGTCGGCTGTCCCTCGACTACCAGTATCCTATTCTCGCGAGCGTGGAGCGATTACAGATGCCCACCACTTCCGTCTTCTAAAACTGAATATGACAGCATACCTCCCGTGTATGGTGATCAATAACGCCGCGTTCGTCGGAGTTTACGTAGCTCATCGCACGGAGGCATCTTCATTTCCAGCGCCCTACGCATGGCAGCTTCGCGGTCTTCGCTGCGAGAGTTACGAGCTCGATAGATCATCCGTTTCTGACGCAGTTTAAGATTCTCGCAGCTCTCCGACAGCTTGGATACATGTGCCTGTTCCACCATTTGCTCTACTCGTGAGAGATCACGCCAGTGGGTAGTATACCGCTGTTCAAAATCGCGCTCTACGTAGTACGGGATACCCTTGACCACATTGGCCATCTGCGTCGCACGCTGGACGTTAAACTGTGGGGTCGGGTTTAAGCTAAACGGCATCTCGGGGGTCGACGGGATCGAGAGCAGCGACATTACGAAGATCAGCAACAGCGGAAGGAACTGAGCCAGATTCGCCATGCCACCACGCGGTTCCTGCTGATGTCCACGGGCTTGCTGCTGCTGTGGCCGGCGTCCACGTGGACGGAAGCCGCCGCCGAAAAACATGTTGAAAATCTCTTCCGGAGTGATATCCTCTTCCTGGGCGTATCTGCGTCCCTGGGGTTGCTGCTGGTGCACTGGTGCATCGTCGCCATAGCGGTCATAATGTGCGCGCTTGTCAGGGTCGCTCAAAACCGCAAACGCCTTTCCTACCGCCTTAAACGCATCCTCCGCTCCCGGCGCGCTGTTCTTGTCCGGATGCAGCTTCAGAGCCAGCTACGCAACAGCCAACGTTAGCCAGGTATCACCAGAATAAAGAAATATAATCCGCTTACCTTGCGGTACGCTTTCTTGACCTCATTCTCTGTGGCAGTCTGCTGCACAGCCAGCACCTCGTAATGGTTCTTGCAGGCCTTGATCTTGCGCACCATCTGCAGCTGATCGGCCGTGTATGGCCGAGAGGGCTCCGAGGATGGCGATCTCGACGGTGCAGCTGGAGCTGTTCGGTGCCGCATTCCCGCACTAGATGGCGCAGCGCCACGTGGCGACGTGGGCTGTGCGCTGGGTGTCGCCTCCTTCTCCATCTCTGCCTTTGCTCGATCGCGCATCGCCTCCACACCCGGCAGTGGATACATACGATGCGATTTTTCGAAGAACTTGATGGCCTTATCCCAATTACCAAGACGCAAGTGCTTTTTGCCGATTTCGAGGCATTTCTCGGCCTCTCCCTTGTTCATCTCCATGCCGGAAGTCGACTCGGCCAAAACCACGTTGCGTGGGGGATACTCACTCTATGCAAATATAACTTGCACCTCCACACGCGTAAGGAGTAGTTGAAGATAAATACACCTCTATTACGGCCAAATAACCACCAGATAAACCGCAAGAGTGGCGGCAATTAAACAAGCTTTGAGGACCGCGGCAATCGCGGAATGGAGGTCACTGTTGTCGAGGGGGACTTGATCGAATTTCAGGAGTTTACATATTCAAAAAGTGAGCGGTTTAGATGGTATATGTTATTTGAAAATAGGTCTCATTTTGAGCCCTTGCCGAAAAAAAAGTCCAGTGACGACTGTTTTGGGCCCGATGGCGACTTCAACTTGCTCATTTTGGCAGGAGATTTCGCCTTCAATGGAGACAACACACGGCGGCGTTTGCTGGGAGATGTTGATGACGGAGAGTCCTGATTGTCGTCGCCGGGACGTTTGTTGAGAAGCGTTGAGGCTGGAACGAACTTAGTGGGAAATTGCTTGAACTCTTTCTTGGGCGTGTTGTCTTCATTGTCGTGCTCTTCGCTCTTAGGCAGCGGACTGGTTGCAGTATCGCTAATTATTTCCTCTTCAGCCTTGACTTGAGTCTTGTGCATAGTCGCAAAGGGCTCTTGCTTCACTCTCTTAGATCCGAAAAAGGCCTTAATGTCACCTACGAATTTGGAGTCCATATTCAAATGTATGTACTGTACGTATGTGTAGTAAAGTGCATACCTGCATGCTTGATATTGACCTTCTTGGCGCAGTCTTCGCTTTGAAATTGCATCGATCCAACTGCAGTGCAAGAAAATATCACCGTTTGAACGAGGTTAGTGGAATTTCAATCATCAAACACTTGGAGTACGCTTTTGCTAAGACTTTATGCTTACCTTTCTTGTCCACGGGGTGCCATTTCAATTCGGTAGAGCGATAAGATGTTAATAAGTCTTTAAGATCTTCAAACTTGGCGCCCGAAAGCCACCGATCAACACTTTCATCGGACAAAATGACCTAATACAACACGTCAAATCTACCTTTAGGTCAGCGATACAATATTTCCCAGCGACGTCCGTACCGGCATGCGGGTGTGCAGCCACTTTAGCTCCGGCGCAACCGCAGTGGTGAGGATGGTGTAGGTGCACATCAATTCTCCTGCTTCATTCCTCCACTGATCGTACAGACCTGCAAACTAAAGAGGGCTTAAATTGTCAGGTGTCTTGTCAACTCGTCATACTTCGAAGGCTTACCTTCATCGGGATGCCGTCTCGGTAGAAATAATACGGCTGCTTCTCTCTTTTATCCACTTGTTGCCACTCGTAATACCTTCCTCACGTAATCAAAAAAAGGCAAAGTTAATGAGTGCAAAATACGGCTGATAAAAGACAGCGCTGCAGCTTGCTTACCCTTCACACAGCACCACACATCTCTTCGACTCCAACAACCGCTTAAACGCTGGTCGCTCCTGTAGATTTTCGGATCTGTAGATATACGCATCAGGTCAATTCGGCGCTCTCCTCAGCCCAATAGGATGGTACTTTTGTACCTGGCGTTAAACATTAGAAAGTGGTCTGGCTTTGCAGTCGCCTTGGTGAAGGACGGAACTAGGCCCCACTTCAATGCTATCCCGTCAGTGCAATCTCTCAACAAGTAGTTACAGCAGCTCCCAGCACGAACCCGCATGGCTTGTAGTCGTGTCTTCATCTTCGTCTCGCCTTCGACCTTTGCTCCTCCACGTTGCAAAAGGATCGGCCCGTATCTTCCAGGTCCCATATTTTCTACTGGCTTATCTGAAGAAAAAGACCCCACATAAAGCGACCAAATCAAAAACAATGTTAGCACTTCCTCGCCATTATGAGCCAACCAAAACACCTCATCTCCCCACGCACATTTGTCTCCATCCTTAAACTCTTCAAGTGCGACGCCTGCAGCTTCAGCAACCTCCTCTCGCGCCAACGTACACCGTGCGCGCCCACACATTCCTGTCAGTAGTAGGGTTACACAATGTGTACCCCGTGTAATTTTAAACAATCGGATATGCGGGGGTGTATGTACAAGTACGTCGTTTCGCATTGATGGAGTATCGGTAGAATGCAGCATCTCGGAGCCTCTACCGGCAACAAGAAGGTACGAGTACGACATCCAATCGGGTCCGCTGCATTACCCGGTAGTGCCAAAGCTCGTGCTGGACCTGATGCACTAGGTCTTGCCAGTACCGTGAACCCTCTCACGTTCCTGGTTCAGAGGCCTAGCACTGATGAACGTGGAGCTAACAATGGGAGACGACAGCAAACTCCGAGAAGGCGGAGACTTCGAACGAGCGAGACGAAGATCCCAGTAGCTGAGGCTTTCTCCCCACAGAGATCACTGCGTTTTTCCAAGCTTCCAATGTTGACAAGGAAGGAACACCATTTAGAATCAACCCACCCCAATCAATTGACAACAACAGTATCAACACCTCGGCATGTAGAATTGCCCTTGCATGAGCTAATACAAACAATGGACGATGCAGTGAAGGCAGATCCATTGGCAGAGCTCAACCAATCGACCATTGCTCGCTTGTTCATGGACCAATGGCTTCGACAGTTTGAAGCTGATCGACGCACCTTTAAATCTGTTGGTAAGCTAAGGGCACTCGTAGATGGGTTTCCAGCGCTGTATCACTTGGGCTCTACTGACATTGACTGTGCAGCTGTGCGGTATGAAGTGGGATTCGAGGAACTACAGCGACGAACAGCTAACCTTCCGCGACCAAACGAGCTGGTCACAACCTTTAGCTGCAAAGTTCTTGGTACGTTTCCTTTTGAGCTGTACAGATAATGTGAAGGCTTCAGTGGATTTTCACTTATTTGCTATGTTGATACTGTGATCGATTTCGAAAAGAGTAGAAGATCTCACCCCGCACTTCGGTCCATATGCACCGCTGTTTCGTGTGTTGAGAGCTGAGCTTGTTCAGTCCATATACTCACGTGATGGCTTGCCGTATTTTGCATTGGTTAAACACCACAAGCGTCTACTTCAGACACTTCGAAAGGATAAGTAAGTCGCCAGAATTTTAAGACTATAAAGTATATCTCTAAGTATACGAAATATGTGTCAGGGAGTGGAGGGAAGACCGCAATGACGTTCTAGCCGACGACATCGATAAAGTGTATATTATGTCTCGACACTTCCTGTCCGAGTGCACGTACGCATTAGCTCGCATGCTCCTACACGAATGGTATTCTGTGGCTGTGGTTCAAAAGAAGGTTTGCTCATCATGTTATTTTGTAGTGCTTGTTGAGAAGCTGACACCTAGAATCTGGACCTGTGGTTAGAACAACAGAAAATATATCGCGTATTACTCGAACTGGTTCAACAGCGCACCCAGAGCCATGCTCCAAAAAGTTTACACTGCGTGGAAGCGCGAAGCTGCGAGACATCGGATTGAAAGGGTCCAAAAGCAACTGCAAATTGATCTTCAGAGTCTGACAGCCGTCAAACGACAGGCAGAGGAGCTCACGGTGCAGCGCGATAAAGCACAGGCAGACAACCTGGCAATGAGGAGTGACCGCAATCAAGCCGAGGAGTGGACACGACAACTAGAACTGCGGATTAAAGCTGCGAGCACGTTCTTGGATACAACTCGTCGTCGAGAAGCCCAGGTTTGTCAAGAAGGGCAACTGAGAGTGGAAGCTGTGGCTTGTCTCCCGCCACTTATTCTGGAGTCTTTGCTGCGAGGTTATCACGGTGTTGGGTTCCTACAACAAGTATCGGGTCAAGAACCTCAAGCCGACCAAGATGTGTATGACGATCAGGATACCGGAACCTCCTGTGTGCTTCTTGAATGTCTGGGTGAGATCACTCGGCTACGAGACATGGAAGTGAGACGGACATCTTCTTCTACAATAGCGTCGACATCTGGAGGAAGGGTCCATTCAGTTGTTGCCGCTACGGGGAGGTCGAACTCGGCTGTAATTGGAGCAGCTCCTAGTGAAAATGGACAGTCAATATCGCCACAAGAAACAGTGGCCGCAACAGGTAGTCCCTCTGGTAGGAGGGTGGCAGGAGCGATTTCGCAAGATGAACTATCGGGGCGATTGTTTCTAAAGCACTTTCTTTCTTTGCGTGAGCACATACGAGCACCCAATACGAAGGTTCTCTTCACACCACACTTTCAAGAAACCGAGGAGAGACGACAAAGTCAGCACGATAATTCGCAAGTGGATCGAGAGTACGACCACCTTCTACGCGCTATCCGAATCCAGGACGAACATTACGCTAGTCATTCCAAGTTGTTCAGCTCGCGTATGCTTGAAGCTCACGAAGTCTCGCTTGTTCCAAACTGTTCGATGCCTAGTTCAGTTCTTCAAGGCTCTGCAGGAAGTGATAGAGGGGACCTGGGTGTCATCAATGGAGTCAAGCGCTCCTGGATATTGAACAAGTCAGCGGAGATGCTGAGGACAACATCTCGTGGCTCACAATTCAAGCGTGCGTCAACACAAAGGCAGTCGATCTTATCACTAAATAATCGCTCACCGCCACCGACGCCATTGCTTGAAAATCTTCAACTGCTTCAAGAAGCTGATTTCGACATTTCTCCTCTCCATTCCCGTGGCTTCACTGTACTTCTTCTTGCTCATATCGCAACTGAATATGGTGCATTGCTCTTCTCTCCGGGTGACATGAGTGCATTCACCCACAACGCATACCTGAGTCCAGTCGTCAAGGCCACCGAAGACCTTGAAGTCGAAAATCCTCAAGATGTTGATCTGGATAAACCTGCTGACGAAAACGACCAACGGATGCCAACGCCGTCACCTCCAGTCATTGTACCGACGGCAGCGGTCAATGGCTCGACAAACAACTCGCTTCGCATCATCGAGCCGATAGTCACCGCATACAATACGTGGAATCAACTTTCGGAGCAGCTCATTTCTGCCGGGGTGGTGCAATCTCGGGGCTTAACGCAGAAACCAGTGATGGATCCTTCTAGTGATAACAGTGGTGATGTATTAAGGGGACGAGGAACCGCACAAGGAACTCCCATTCGTCCGATTCTTCAGCACCAGTTTGAACCTTCAGCTCACAGCTCGTTACTTGCACCAGTAAGAGAGAAAGTGAATCGGAGGACGAGCAACCCTGTTGGAGACGGAAACACGTATCATACTGCTAAAATCCGACACCTGTCCCCCGAGATGACTGAAACACTGACACACAGTATCGAGGATATACACAGATGTGTGAAAACCACAGCAGCAAAGTTGAAATACTTCGACGCCACGCATCAACAATTAAAAGAACTTCGGATCACTCAGTGGCAACAAGCAAGCGAGCTGGCTTCTGAATCGTCGAACCCAAAAGAGGAGGCAACATCTTCGAATCCTGGTGGACAATCAGACAGTCGAGAGCAAATCTACGAGTGTATTTCTCTCACCAACAACACGATGCGTCGAATATTCAGCGTCGAGGATAATCCAGACATTGAACTTACACAAGTTCGTGCTGTTTTCGAGAATCATCAACGCGTTATACGCCGGTTGTACACTCCGTTCCGTGCAAACATTAAACATGCCATGAGTCTCGACGATTTGTGGCATATTGTCAAGATACTTCGCTTGCCTCGTGAGATCCATGTTCTCCCTGTTCTACGTGACGAAGAACTGGTAGCTAACGGATACGAACAACTCTTCTCTCCTGAAGACCTGGCCGAACTTTTTCTTCAGCTTTGCAACGAGCAATTCCAGCCACAACTTGCTCCACTGAGTGCACGCGTCGAGTACTTCGTCACACGCCATCTACCGATTGCTCTTCAAAATCCGAGTCTGCTTCGAGTTATGATGCATCGTTCCGACGTGAAACTCGCAATTCACAGCCATTCCCAAACAATTCGGATCATATTCCGACGTTACTGTGCAAAGGAACGCGAGCTGATGATGACAGCCACTGGACCAGCGAAGCCAAAGCCTCGACATACTGGACACGGGATCAACAAGTACATGCGCATGGTCGACTGGCAGGCGTTTGTCCAAGATTATCACTTGATACGTGCTAGATTCTCACTGGATCAAGCCTTGAATGTGTTCCGCAATGTCCAAGAAGCCTCTTCTGGAAACGACGAGCAGCTTGAGTTGATCTACAGCGAATTCTGCGAGGCGCTTGTTGCCATGGCAACATTTTACTTTCCCGATCCATTCGTCAAGCCTGCAACAAAGCTCATGCAGTTTCTGCGACGATATTTGCCACTGTCCCCTGACGACACTTAAGACACAAAACTGAAGATTAATACTTGCACGTTATGAATGTTTTTTTTTCTTAAGTAAACTGCGCGTCGTTCATTCACTTTATGTAACCTCTACAACTAAAATGCGCGATAACTTGTCGGCTTATCACCTGGCCGCGCATACTGTGCTAGAAAGAGCTAGCACACACCGTGCGTTGTGAGGCCCGACTTCTGGTGTTTGAGGTTGGCCTGCAGCGAGTGGACAATGTCCTTGAAGTGCTTCTTCTCGGCCTTGGGCGACGACATGGCCGTGTCCACCAGCACGTGGTGTTTCTCCAGTACTTCAATGGCCTTCATGATGTCCTGCACCAACATATTGGCCATGTGCGACGAGAAATTCTGCTTCACGACCACACGCATGATGGCCAAGGACTCGGCTCCGCTAGAGCAC